AGAACTGTGAAGTGGTGGCGGCAAGGGAGTTCCTGTAAAAAATACCCTTCTTGCTATACTGCTTATCAGCTTGTTTCTAAGCAATAAAAAGAAAAAAGAAACAAAAATCACCAAACAGAAACCTTTGGTTTTCTATAGCTAAACTTTAATGTCAGACTCCTGGGCAAGAAGCGAAGATTTTTATTCACAGGATATTCCAAGAAAATACTACATCAACAAAACGATCAAGACACCCAGAAATCAAGAGCAAACCCTAAATGGAAACTGAAATCCAGAACACAGACTTCCTGAAACATAGGAAATGGTCTTGCAATAGTCCAATACGCAACTTGCAAGCGACAGATAATAGTGTCTTTACTGAATAGCTTGCTATGGACACCCAGTAAATCATATGAATGATAATCTGCAGGGCTGCTTTTGTTCAAAAACATTTCTTGTGGTTTTGAACCTCTACCTAGGCTTCCCCTACACATTAATTATCTTATAGAAGTTTTCCACGTGGGCAAGCAAAAAAATAGAAGCACTTTCTTTTACAGGTTTTAAGAAAGATTCTAGAGGTTAACAAATACATCTTTTCTTGATAGTAAATTTAAGAATACGCAGGTAATGGAGAAAAGTCAAAGAAATGTTGAGTACATTTGCAGAACTGAGTTCCTAAGCAGTAGGTAAAAAATATTTAAAGAGATTTCCCTAACAGGCTTCCTTACATGTCTTTCTATCAACACTTTAGAGTAAAATATAAGGAATTTACATATCTGGTCTATTCCTCCTTGCTAAAATCTTGTCGAATGCTTTAAGCAGCCGTTAGTTGACAAATGTCAAAAAACTACTGCCAGAAGACAAGCCAATGTGTCAAACAGACTGATTTTATATTCGTTTTGGTGTTGATAAAACTAAACAGCATTATGCTGACATCCTGACAGCATCACGACACTGGTGTATCTACAATTTTTTTTTGGTAATAAACTCCTTTAATTCCTTTTTAATATTTAGAATAATTCATCTAATTGCAGCAAGGAGCAACAGTTGGTCATCTGAAGAGTTTAGAAAGTACAGAAAGACTTCATTGAATCATCACACAGTTGTCTCGCTATATACTTTTCTTCTACCAAATGGGAATTACTGCTGACTTCACAGTGATGGTTCTGCAAAAATCAAGTAGGAATAGAATACAGAGATGTCTATGAACATAAATCATACGATGGCTATTACACAACTACGAGCTATTCCAAAGAGAGGGCCACTGTTTTCAAGCAAACACGTAACTCAGTTCCAGAAAGGTCATCTAAGAGAGTTGAAGATGTTATTCACAAAATGCATGACCTTGTATTTTCTTTCACAACCTTGCTTCTCAAAGAGTGTCCTTCTCTGCACTGGTGCACACAAACTTTTTTTGCTCTGTTACACACACTTCAAAAATAGTCAACACCACTCAGCTGTAAAGGTCTATAACTTTAGTGAATGTCACATATGAATTCCCTTGCTAAAAAGAGGCTTGATTTCCAGTGTTCAAGAAATACATTGCTACTTTGAGAGCAACCTACAACAGAGACATGGCCTAACCTAAACGCCTGAGGCTTTCTTCAACGGGTATTTATTGACTTTAAAGAAGATCTTTCTGGTTCATCTTCTCAGCGTGAAGTTCCCTTCAACTGTGCCACATGTTTTCTGCTATCATGTACTGGACAGACTTTAAATATGGCCAGATTTTTCCTGTATAAAGTCTTCTCCGGCTATAACAACATCATTACATGCAATAAATGTCAGTGACTAAGCTATATATGATTAACAAATGACACTTTCTTAGCTCAATTCTCTCCTCCTCAGGATATACACCTCAAATATAACATTATTAAATAGTGAGGCATTTATCTATTGATTGCTGCCTTAAAACAAACATCACAGCATCAAGTAAAGGAGAACCCTATATTGCTATCACGTGCGTCTCATGTGAAATATGCCTGGTGACGGCAGAATAACTAAATCTCTCAGAACTGAACTAAGGTCAACAGGAATGTCAGTATTTCTTTGACAACCTTGTGATAAGATCAGAAGGTGAAGCATCCCTCCCAAATGCAGGCAGCCAGCTCTGGTGTGGAAGGGCACAGATGCTACACCGCCTCCAGAATCAATCAGGTGCGGATACAAGCTAGCTGCTTTACTGTGGCAAAGGGG